TCTTTGATTGTCAACATATTAGGTACTTGTGAAATTTTCCCCGACAGTCGAATTGTTGAAAAGGTTTACGTTGTGACCCTTCCTGAGAGGTTTGAGTCAAAATTCTGCTTCGTCGTAGAAGAGTCCATGATCTTAACAACATTTCTTTGGCTGAATTTGATGAGTGAATTGATGAGTGCTCTTCAAGCACAGGAGCAGCGAAGACTTTTAAGGCAAGACAACACCATAGAAGGGGCATTTTCTATGCATAAACAGCATGCTGAAAAAAGCAAGAAGAGTTCTAACCAAAAGAACGAAGGCAATAAAGAAGGGTCCAAACAGAAAAAATATCAACCTTGTTCTCATTGTAAAAAAACTACTCATCTTGAAAAATTCTGTTGGTGGAGACCAGATGGAGTATGTGGCAAATGCAAACAACTTGGACATGTTGCCAAGGTCTGCAAATCAAAGAAAGATGTTCAAACCCAACAAGCACAAGTGGCAGATGATGTAGATGTGCATGAGGAGCAAGCTTTTATGGCTTTCTGTCTTTCCAACGATGAACTGGAGGTACATAAGGAGCGAGCTGTTGTTGCTTTTTGTTTTTCTATTGATGGTGCAGGTGATTTGTGGCTTATTGATAGTGGGTGCACTCATCATATGTGCAAAGATGATTTTATATTCAGCACTCTTGATGAAACTTATAAATCTAAAGTGAAGGTGGGTAATGGCCAATATATTAAAGTTGAAGGCAGTGGTTCAGTTACTATCCAAACTCAATCAGGTATAAAAATAATTTCTGATCTTTTATATATACCTAAAATTAGCCAAAATCTCTTGAGTATTGGACAAATGCTGGAAAAAGATTATGCTTTTGAATTTAGAAAGCGGAAGTGCACAGTTTTTAATCTTGCAGGAGAAAAGATGTTCTCTGTAACAGTGAAAAACAGGAGTTTCTTTATCAATTGGGAGGAAACTGATGAGCAAGCATTTACTGGCACCACCTTGAGTAAATCAGACTTGTGGCACAAAAGGTTTGGGCATTTCAATCAGAGAAGTTTGTTGGAGATGAAACAAAAAGATTTCATCTGGTTAAGAAAGTTGCTGAAAGATTTGGGGTATGAACAAGCTGAAGCAACCAGAATTATGTGTGATAATATCTCTGCTATTTCGATGGCAAAGAATCCTGTTTTTCATGAGAATCCTGTTTTCATGGGCGAAACCAAGCACTCAAATTAAGTTTCATCTTATTAGAGAAGTTCAACGAATCTAGATGAAGGTGTTACTGTTACCTTGTCATCTGAAAGGAAACAAGTTATCTGACATTTTTCGACAAAAGCCTTACCAAAAGAAGAATGTGAAGCTCTAGGAAAAATATTGGTGTTTGTCATCAATGCCAGGAGGCAGTGTTGAAGTGCTGGGCATTTCGTGTTTCATCAAATATTTTTTCTGTTTATCAGTTTTCCAATTAACACTGTCTGGATTTCCTAATTTCCAGCCTTTAGAATCTCAGTTTATTATTTTGTGTTAATTTGATTTCATTATTTGGGAGAATCTGTTTATTTTCAATTGTATAAAATTCTTCAATTACATTGAAGACATTGAAGTAAAATATATCTTCTTCCTCTCATATTTTTTAATCTTTTAAATTTGTTTCTGCTGAAACTCTCATTAATTTAGCAGATACATTGCTTCAACAGAAATGTCCAAAATTATTGAATGCAAAGACACTTATGGACAGGTAGTTCTACCAGTTTTCTATCATATAGATCCATCTCTTATACAAGAACAAAGTGGGAGTTTGATAGATGTATTTATCGACGCTGAGAAGAACTTTAAGGAGAAAATGGAAAAAGTGCTAAGGTGGAGGGTCGACTTGATGAAAGCGGCTAGTATATCTGGATGGGATTCTCAGGTGATTAGGTATGTGTAAATTGATAATCTGCTTATATTTTCTAATCTTTGAAATATATAAAAACAGTATAAATCACGTAAAATCACGTACTTGAGTTGGACGGTCGAGACAAAGAGTTGTGCTTTTTGAAACCATTAAATTATTATACAGTTCTAAACAGAACAATAAGTCAATAACTAATCTAACCATAGATCCTACATTTTGAAACCAGAACCATGACAAATTCTTTGCTTCGTTGTCTAGTCGAGTTGCTCTGTGACTCTGTCATTTCCTAAAAATGCTCTCTTTTCAACTTTGTAGGGTAAGATATGCTAAAAGTAATTTAATAATAGTAGTTAGATATGCTAAAAGTAATTTAATAATAGTATTTTTCTTTTTCCAATTTTGTAGGGTAATATTTTCTTATTTAGTTTGAAAAGTATTTGTAAGTAATATTATATATAAAGACTATAAAATACCCTTCTCATTTAAAATTTTTTTAATATAATATACTAAAATTTCATTAAAAACTTCAAATCAATACAAATAATATAAAGAGGACATGACCCTCTCCTAAAGATCAGACATAAAACAAAATAATTATTGTTCGCTGATCTAATAAAAAAAATCCTAATAAAAATTAGAAGGTAAACTTGAAAAAAACTGATAGATCTTTAAAAGTAGCTGGTTAGATAAACTCCCTGAATCTTCTATACATGGGCTAATTATCAATGAACTAATTACTTATGACGAACATAGAGGATTTAAACCACTAAATCCAATGAAAAAACAAGTTGCACTACCGAACTTTAAAAAACAAAGATCATCATGTAGTTGAATAATTCTTTATAAATTGCACATCTGTCCAATAAAACTAAACAAATGCAAAAAAACAAAATAAATGCTCTACATAAAATGGAGAGATTATAAACTCTATACAAGATGGAGATAAACCATAAAAAATAACAGAAACATAAAGATAAAAAATAGCACAAACATAAACAATATAAATTTGTGCCTGAATAGATATAGATATGTAATTTATCTAACAAAAAACATAAAAATTAGCAATAAAACTAAAAATATAAGGAGGGACTGTCACAAGAGACAATAATCAGCTTTTCTCGTATCTACATGCTTGATTTTGTGTTTGAATGGAGAAAATGGAAGAAAATTTTAAATGAGAGAGAGGTGGTGGTTTCTCAAGACGTGAAAAAGTCTCTTCTCATTTTTTTTTTTTTTTTTTTTTTTTTTTTTTTGATAAACTAATAGTGATTAATAATAATATATAAGTTAGTATATCATAATGATTCCGTAAGGAATAAGAAATATAAAATATAAATATAGAAAATTAAAATCTTCTGTTTGGAGATGTTCGATCTTGGCAGAAGAGATTAATCTTCCTGGTAAAAATTGGTCCATTTTTTAAATAAGACAATAAAAGAAACCTTCCACAATATTGTCTCAAATATTGTCTTTTCAAAAATTTGTTACAACTAACGCTCATAGAAGAGTTTAATATATCAAACTGTAATAGAGAAACAGACCGTAGTACCAAGCTTCATTGATAAAAGAAACTTGTCATTCGAACTACCTGAGAAATAAAAGATCTACATAAAAACCCTCCAATAATGAGGAATAACCTCATAACAGGAAAGAAATTAATAACCCCACTAAGATCTATACATCTGAGAAACTAAATACAAATTTTATTCCAAACGATTATAGATTTGAAAATTATTAAAAAGAAAACTAAACAAAATAAAAAAAAATGATAGAGAGAGATAAAAAGAAATCACCGCCCACCAAAAAAGCCGACCAAAAAAGCCAATTGGTGACGGTTTAAAAATAAAATTTAAAAGAATACAAAAAAGAGAGTCCAAGAGAGACAACTAGGGTTTCTAGCGACTCCCTTCTCATTTAAGTTGTTATTTAAATATATAACTTGATTAATTTTTTCAATGAAATTACATATTAATTTGTGAATATTAAATTAATAGTTGCAAGTGATATTGTAGAGTAGGAGAAGAGAACCAAAAGAAGGAAGAGAAAAAATAGAAATAAACATGAATAATATGTGAAACTAATTTTTAAAATAAAATTATTCTGTAAAATTCTCTATAATTTAATTAAATAATACAACTTAAATTTAAATGATAAGTATAGTAAATTTAAATGATAAGTATAGAATTTTAAATATAAATGATCAGATATTTAACTTTTTTTAGTTTATCAAATGTTGTGTTTATTTTTTATAATTTATTAGATTTTGCTTATTAATATTTTGTAATATTTTTAATATATTTGTAAAAGAAATTTTTTTTTAAATTGCTGAATTACAAAACAATATATCTAAATTTCAATATTTTATAAGAATTTCTAATATTTTATAAAAGTTTTTTTTTCCTTTTTCTTTTCTTTTTTTTTTTTTTTTAACTCAAAAGGAGAAAGTAAAGAAATTTTCCTTAAATTTCCTTGAAGGAAGGACCTTGGTCATTTTTAGTCAAAACTGTTAAGTCTCTGCTGTACAGTATAACAGATAAGAATGATCAAAGCAATGGATGGTATGAATTTCTCTCCTTTGGTATTAGCTAGATCGAAGCAAAAAAGATTTGTAGTGTAGTGAAACTCTGTATTTATTTCCAAGAAGTCAAACTCTATTCCTTGTGGGATTTCATTCAATTTGCTTTCTGTCTTTCTTAGATGAATATGTAAATTAGTTCCGTTTTCTCTCTATGGTTTATATTATCGAGTCCTTTTCCAACCGAAGTGAGTCTGATAATCAGAGTCCTGTTTGAGCTTCTCTCCTTTCTGGGTGATATCAGAAATATAGCGTTGTTGTTCCTTTTTTTTTTTTTTTTGGGTTGATATGAGTTTAATATTCGCTGAAAGATTAGTAAAAAGGCAGGATTAATAATTGTTACAGTATTTCTTCTATTTATTTATTTTTTTGTGATCCCATTAGAAGATTTTTAAAGTTTTTAATGTTCGATGGTCTTGAAGTTGTAGAGTCCTTTTATTGGATTCGATAATTATTTCTGTGGCACAACACTTGTCAGTAATGGTTATTTCTCGATTTTCATTTTCCAGGAAAACAGTGTCGCATAAGATATTTTAACTATCCATTATGGCATCTTCTTCCACTGGTCGTAAACGGAAGTATGATGTGTTTCTTAGCTTCAGAGGTGAGGATACTCGTGATAATTTTACTAGTCATCTCTATGATGCTTTGTGTCGTAAAAAAGTCAAGACCTTCATAGACAAGATAGCTTTGTTGTTCCGTAAAAAGTCAAGACCTTCATAGACAATGTACCTGAAAAGAGGGGAAGAAATTAACCGAAGAAATAACTCCAGCCCTTTTGAGAACGATTGAAGAATCGATGATTTCTGTAATCATTTTCTCCAAAAACTATGCATCTTCTCCATGGTGCTTGGATGAAATGTCCAAAATTATTGAATGCAAGGATACTTATGGACAGATAGTTTTGCCAGTTTTCTATCATATAGATCCATCTCTTTTACAAGAACAAAGCGGGAGTTTTGCGGATGCATTTACTCATGTTGATGAGAACTTTAAGGAGAAAATGGAAAAAGTGCCAAGGTGGAGGGTCGACTTGATGAAAGCGGCTAGTATATCTGGATGGGATTCTCAGGTGATTAGGTATGTGTAAATTGATAATCTGATAATCTGCTTATATTTTCAAATCTTTGAAATATATAACAAGATGAAAACAGTATAAATCACGTACCTGAGTTGGAAGGTTGAGACAAAGAGTTGTGCTTTTTCTCCTTTGTGAATTTTCTCGTCTTGTTTGAAAATGCAATAAAACAACTTATTTTGTAGCGCTCTCTAGATTTTGTACAAATTCTGGATGCTTATCCTCTTAGTTCAATACCAACCACACCAATTTCACAAGTTATCTAATAACATGTTGAGATTTGTAGGCTGCAAGATGATAGCTCTACACTCTAATCCACTCACTCCTTTGCAGGCCTTCTTTCCTCTGGTTAGCATGTCTAGTGGAAACTTTATTAGTATGTAAAAATTTTATATGCTTAGCACAAATTCTAACTATGGAAGAAAAATTAGATCATTTGTGTTAATCTAACTTCTTGCGGGCTTCGTTCCATTGTTGCAGACAGTAATCAAAAAGAAAATGATGACTTGACAAAACTCTTATCAATTCCTTTGTTTCCTTCTCACATGTCACTACTACTTGTTCTTCATATTTTGCAGACCTGAGGCCAAGCTTGTGAATGATATTTAAGACCTGAGGCCAAGCTTGTGAATGATATTATGAAACATATTTTGAGGAAGTTGAATCATGCATCCTTTAGAGATTCAAAAGGCCTGGTTGGGATAGACTCTCACATTGAACAAATTAGAAAGTTGTTGTGCTTTGGGTCACCAGATGTTCCGATTGTTGGAATTTGGGGTATGGGTGGGATAGGTAAGACGACTATTGCTGAAGCAATTTTCTATAGCGCTTCAAGTGAATATGAAGGTTGCTGCTTTCTCAAAAATATTAAGGAAGAGTCAAAAAGATGTGGGCTAGATTTTTTAAAACAAAAACTATTATTTGAAACATTAGAGGAAGAAAATCTACATACTCTAAGTCCCAACATGGGGTCCATTTCCAATGAGGACAGGCTCCAATGCACAAAGGTTTTTCTTCTTCTTGATGATGTGGATGATGTAGATCAATTAGACGCCCTAATTAGAAGATCGAATCTTGGTTTGGGAAGTAGAGTTATTGTGACATCTAGAGATAGGCAGATCTAGAGATAGGCAGCTTCTTAAGAATATAGTTGATGACGTATATGAAGTTGAGGGATTAAATGATGATGAAGCTCTTCAATTGTTCAGTTTGTATGCTTTTAAGAAAAACTATCCCCCGAAAGATAGGTTAGACTTATCAAATAAGGTAGTGAATTATGCTCAGGGAAACCCATTGGCGCTTAAAGTTTTGGGTTCTTTGGGTTCATATCTATTTGACAGAAGGAAACGAGATTGGGAAAGTGCACTGAATAAACTTGGAAGAGGTCCACATTCTCAAATCTGTAATGTATTAAGAATAAGCTTTGATACGCTAGATGATGAAGAGAAAAGTGTATTTCTTTTCTTGATATTGCTTGCTTTTTTAAGGGGAAATTGATTTCGTTAAGAGAATCCTTGATGGTTGTGGTTTCTCAGCTGATATTGGAATCAGTGTTCTAGTTGATAGATGCCTCATTACTGTCCTTGAAAACAAACTAGGGATACATGACTTGTTGCTTGAAATGGCTCATGAAATTGTTCGGCAGGAATCTGTTGCCAAGCTGGGCAAGCGCTGTAGACTGTGGAATCCTATTGATATCCTTCAAGTGTTGACCAAAAATCTGGTGAGAGCCATATGCATGATGTGTATATATCCTTTGGGGTGTGTACGTGTCCGTCACACACACACACACACACACACACACACTTCATATACGAAGTAAGTTGGAAACTTTATAATATTTACGTAACTTATGCACTATTTATTCGTTTGATGTTGAATATTTAGGGGGAACTGAAATGTTGAAAGGATATTTTTGGATGCTATCAACAATAGGAGAAGTAACTTATGTTCCAGAGGCTTTTTGCGAACATGGATAATCTTAGAACTGCTTAAAATTTTACAATGCTAGAATTGGAAAATAACAGAAAATTGCACCTTCATCATGGCCTTTGAGGTTTCTTTTTTGATGAGCTGAGGGTATCTCCACTGGATGGTTACCCATTTATAGGTCTAATGCCATCTAATTTTTCAAGGCAGAGAAACTTGTATGAACTTGAGACCTAGCATACAGCATAGCATACAGCAACGTTAAACAACTATGGACAGGAGTGCAGGTTTGCTATAAGATCTATCTTCATGCTTCATTTTTACTACCCCCTTTTTTTTCTTTAAAAAAACGTTGTGGGTTGAGTAAACATTAATTTCTTGTATTATTTCTGCAGAATCTTGTGAGCTTGAAAGACATCAATCTTAGCTACTCTGAGCACTTGACTACTTTCCCAGACCTGTCACAGGCCAAGAATATTGAAAGAATTAATTTTGGAAACTGTCCTCGCTTGGTAGAAGTGTCGTCATCCATTCAGTTTTTAGACAATCTTGTTGATTTGAATATGAAATGCTGCAGAAGCCTTATGCATCTCCCAATTGGCACTAACATGAGATCTCTCAAGACAATCAACCTTTCTGGTTGCTCCAATTTTAGGGAATGTCCAGAGTTTGCAGAGAACATAAAGTATTTAAATTTGAATGAGACTGCCATAGAAGAACTTCCCAAATCAATTGGGAATCTCAGTGGACGGGAACTCTCCTCAGTGGACTCACATTACATTGAATCTCAAGGACTGTAAACAACTTATGAATCTTCCAGAAAGTGTGCAAAGGTTAAAATCTCTTTTGATTATTGATCTCTCAGGCTGCTCAAACATCACTAGGCTTCCAGATATGTCAATGGATATAAAATACTTGTACTTAAGTGAAACTGCAATAGAAGAACTTCCGTTTTCAATTGGCCGTCTCACCAAACTCTTTTGTTTGGATTTAAAGAACTGCAAAAGGCTTAAGAAGATTCCTTGTAAAATTTCTAATTTGGCATCTCTTGAAAATCTTATTCTCTCTGGATGCTCAAACATCACCCAGTTTCCAGATGTTTCTCCAGAATGTTTCAAGGACTATAAAGAAATTAATGACAAGACAGCAATAGGGAAATTCCCATCATCAGTTTCAGTATTTATGTGGAACTTGAGGAATTGAGTATGCAACGTGCAGAACGTTTTCGAATTCTTCCTTAGGAAGTATTTGGCAAGTTTGAAATCTTTGGCAAAAGCTTATCTGTCAGGTTGTTCCATGTTCAGTGTTTTCCAGAAGCTTTCAGAGGTTTTATGGGGATCTTGAGGTATCTTTATTTTAGATGGAACAAGCCAATTACAAAGCTACCCTCACCTATGAAAATCTAAAGGGCCCTGTATCGAGGCTTGGGAAGTGAGAAACTGCAAAAATCTTATCCATATGCCAGAGGATCTGATCTCAGGTATTGGGGACTATTCTATCAACATGCTACCCTCACCTATTGAAAATCTAAAGGGCTTATCGAGCTTGGAAGTGAGAAACTGCAAAAATCTTTCCATATTGCCAGAGATGATCTCAGGTATTGACTATTCTATCAACATGCCTGACAGAGGAGTAGATATTCAATATTTACGGAAGCTATGTCTAACCAGCTGCAGTTTGTTGAACGTGCCTTATAGCATTGGTTGCTTATTCTCACTTGAAGCATTAGATCTAAGTGGAAACAATTTTAGGAATATACCTGAAAGTATCAATAAGCTAATTGAGCTGCAATATCTTGGTTTAAGAAATTGCCGGAAGTTAGTATCATTACCAGATCTTCCACCGCAACTGACAACATTAGATGCACACAAGTGCATTTCACTGATTAAAGTATCATTTGATTCAACTGGAGTAAAAGGAAATATTTTTGAATTCTTTTTCACTAACTGTGACAAGTTGGGCTCCGATACAAGGCACAACATATTGGAATATGCCCTCACAAAATTTATGCGCTATGCAAAAAGACTGAACAACCAGGTCTCTTTCCCCATTCATCCTCTGATTCTTTTTAACTGATAATTCCAATGTTAATGGTCATGATTCTCGTGTTGCAGATTCCTTCTATACTAGCAGGAGAATCTAGTTTTTGCATTAGTGGACGTACAATCCCAAGGTGGTTTGGCCATCAAAGTAAAGGATTTTCTACGACAATGCAGCTACCTTCACAGTGGGCTAACATCAAGTTCCTGGGTTTCACTCTGTGTGTTGTTATTAAATTCGACGGCTTTTATTTTGGGTGCAACAATGGTTTCCAGATTAGGTGTCAATATCACTTCAAAAATGAGTACAGAGAGTGCAGTGATCTCCATTCTTATTTTGGTGGTTGGTACGGTAAAAGAACTCTCCGTACTTATCATGACAAAGAGTTTGGGAGACAATATCCTATGTTCTTCGGGTATGATCCATGTGTGGACGCTACAAAAGATGATCATTTCAGTAAATATAGAGAGTTAGTAGTTGAATTCTACCCTGAAGATATGGATGGCAATCCTTTACAGTATTGCGAAGTGATCAATTGTGGAGTACGTCTACTATATTCTGATGAGGAGTTATTTTGTCGACGTCGTTCAATTGGTCTACCAAAAGTAGAAGAATTAGACACAATTTCTTTGAGTCCAAAGTTTCATCCAAGATATGGACTTGATTGTCTAAAGTTTCCTCCAATAATAAATTTAAAAGATTGAGAGGATGAATAATTTTATAATAAAGCTTTAAGTTGTTTAAGTTCGTGGAATTCATTTGAAAATTTTGGATTATTTCTTTTAGAAGATCTTTGCTGAAGAAAAAACAAAACTTATTTACCAACAATACCAATTCCTTCTAGAATGATTCAGCATAAAGCGTTTGTAGTTGGCCTTTGTTTTTTTTTTTTTTTTTTTAAGAATTTGGTTTAGTTATATTCAAATCCTTATAATTGAATTTTTCATTTTTCTTTTCATACCAAATATAAAAATTGAATTTGTAAATCAATTCCACAAAATTTTATGGAATTCATTCATTTATTTTGTGGAATTTGTTAATCAACTCAGCTTGCCTCCTTTTGCAAGCCAAGACTAATCATCATAGTAATTACTTTTTCAGCAGCAACACTTTTTAAAAATTTTAGGACTTTTTGTTTCAGGGTATTAGCTAAGATGAATTATGGAATTTCAGATAGAAATTCTGAAAAGAATTTGGGACAAACAAGTTATATTGCGGCCTTTTGTTTCAGGGGATGCAACAATCAATCGTATAGCTGATTGTTTAGTGAAAGATAGGATATATAGTTCATACGACAACTGATATTAGAATTTTGCTCATTTGGATATACATAGGGCATGTTAAAAGGACAAAACATATTACTTTTCAATATATACGTTTGCGTAGATATATATTATTAACATTTTGGTGTTTGAGATTCAAGATCGAGTACAAAGTAAAATACTTTAATGTAAAGTTCAACAATAAATGTTATATCTTAATTGATTATTAAAAAAAAAAATTCATAAACTGAATCGGGTTTATCAATAATAGAAAAGGCCAATTCATTAATTGAAAATGATTTCCATTACAACTAGGATGATAGCTCCAACTCAAACTACAGCTTTCGAACCAAATCAAGGGAAATACAAAACTGTTGTGCGGTGCCCACTTAAATAGGATCCACATGCTTTGAAAAAAAAAAAATACGTGTATACACGTTTTCTTTGAAAAAGAAAAGAAAAAGTGGACGCGAACCCATTAGGCGTTGGGCGCGTTAATTATGCGTCTCTCATTCTCTATAAACAGAGACAGTTGCAGCTCACAAAACACACAACAGAAAGAAAAAAAAAATGTAGAGAGAGTGTGTGATCTAATTTTAGGAAGGGTTTCCTAAAACTAGGGGAGAGAAAACAGTAAGGAAATTATTTTAAGGTGTTTTTTGGAAACACTTTGAGTGCCACTATTTTTTGTATTACTCTTTTTGTGTACCTACTATTTTTTAATAGTAGAAGAATTATTCGGAGTTTGTCTCGTGGATGTAGTCCTAAATAGTTAAGGGTGAACTACGTAAATTACTATGCGTCACAATTTTGATTATTCCGCTGTAAAATTATTCTCGTAATTTTATTGTCGGGGCCCTAACAATAAGCTTCACAATCCTAACTCAAATTATACATTTATAACAGCACAAGCATCACTAAACATGTGTACATAGCAGAGTGTTTAATCTATTTTGTTAAAAGGTTATTAATAATCTATATTGTAGCAATTAATCTATTTTAATCGATAAACCACTAGAGTTTAACATTCAACATTTGGCAATTAAAAGTAGAACAAACATGTTAAGAAATGGGATTAGGAATACAGTGTTTAAAAGTACTAGAATTTTCAAAAATGGAGATGCTAAATTCACAAGATTTACTTTCTATTTTTTCTTTTCTTTTTTAATAAACGTACTCATGCTTATAAATTGTCTCTAACTTCAATTCTAATCCTATAATAAAAAATTAAAAAAAAAAAAAAAGTCTAGCAACGTAGATGCTAGAAACCTCAAAATTGAAACAATCCAGGAATCAGTTGCATGCCCAAAAAATTCATCCGTAAAAAATTATTGGCTAGAAGAAATTCCTTTGCATTTCAAGCAAACGAACAGTTTTACTCGTTGATATTCCTGAAGTTGTTGATGTGGCTATTTCATTTCAATTTCCACACCTATATCAACATTTTTGCTGAGGCAGCATTATGTTATTTTTTAATATTTTTTTGATTATTTTGTAATCTGACTTTTTTAATATCTTTTTAATATTTTTTTGATTTCAATTTCCACACCTATATCAACATTTTTGCTGAGGCAGCATTATGTTATTTTTTAATATTTTTTTGATTATTTTGTAATCTGACTTTTTTAATATCATTAATGATATTAGTGATGTATTTTTTTCAATAATTAAGAGAATTAATAACACTATTAGTATTCTTTTAAAGTAATAATTTTTTTTTTAGTTTTTCAATAATTAATAATAAAATTATCAACTACCAATTGATTTAATGAAATAATCCAATAAATCATTGAAGCAGCATCCAGAGTTCGAATCATAATGCTGTGAACAGAGAAAATTGGATTGAGAGGGTTGCTTCGATGACGAGTTATTGTAGAATTTAAATCTAAATTAATCCGCTGTGCCATTGTGGTTCAAAAAGAAATTAATAATAAAATTAATAACCGCACAGTGTGATGTATTAATTATTTATACAGTTTTAGCTTCCATTGTTTTTGGATTTGACTTTAGTTGGTCTAGCCGACGGGTTTGACCACTGGTTCTGTTACTTGAACCAGCATATGTCATGATAAAGTCACTTTATCCGTATTGGTCTTAGTGGACCGTCCAATCGTTTCAGCCACTTGGCTAACACTCCTTCACTAACATAACATCATGCAGTTTGATTTTTTTTTTTTTAATAACTTTGTGCCAAAAGATCTCAAATTACTTATTGTAAGCAATAGTAATACATAACTAGTAATGTTCTCAAGCACAGTATTTTTCAATATTATAAAAAAAATTCTCGTCAGATAGTTGCTATCTCTCTAAATCTAAAACTTAGAAGTTCTATATTTTTTTCTTCCACGCGGACGTTAGTGAGCTCTCAGCTCACCTCTTTTTCTTTTTTTTATTTTTTTATTTTTATTAGGGCCCTAGTAATAAAATTATGAGAATAATTACGCAGTAGAATAATTAAAATTGTGACACACAGAAATTTATGTGGTTCACCCTTAACTGTTTAGAGCTATATCCACGGGACAAACTCCGAATAATTCTTCCACTATTAAAAAAAAATAATAGGTACACAAAGAGAGTAATACAAAAAGCAATGTGACTCAAAAGTGTTTTTCAAAAACACACAAAAGTAATTTTCTCACTATTTTTCTCTCCTCTAAATTTAAGACCCTTCCTAAAATTGAATCACTCTCTCAAACACAGGATCTTCTCTTCTGTATTGTTCTTCTTCTCATTTCTTTTTTTTTTTTTTCAAAGCATGTGGGTCCCACTTAAGTGGGCACCGCACAATAATTCTCCCCTTGCACACTTAAGTGGGAACATTAGCTATCATCATCCCTGCAGCTAACCGACAGTATTCGAACTTCTCCTTTGAAAGAATCTTCGTCAATATGTCTGATCCATTTTCTTCTGTGTGGATCTTCTCAAGTTGTAACAGCTTCATTTCCAACACATCCCTAATATCAATGTGTTTTCATCTTGAACGGAAGGAGGAATTCTTTCCAAGGTGAATTGCGTTTTGACTGTCGCAAAATATCTGATACATTTCTTGATGAATTCCCAGTTCATTCAAGAATTTCTTTATCCACAGCAACTCCTTTTGCCTCAGTTGCTGACAGAGCAACACATTTCTGTAATTTTGACTGTCACGACACGGCTCCCACTGTAAAAGTGATTAGATATTCTGACGTAGACTTTCTTGAGTCAACATCCCCAGCCATATCTGCATCGGTATAACCGACTAATACTGGCTTATCATCTGCAAAACATAAACATATTTTGGTTGTACCTCGAAAGATACCTAAAATCCATTTCACTGCAGCCTAATGTTTCTTTCCAAGATTTGAAAGAAACCGACTCACTACTCGAACTGAGTGTGCAATATCTAACCGTGTACAAACCATGGCATACATCAAGCTTCCAACTGCTGAAGCATATGGAACCTTATCCATCTCTTTCTTCTCTCCATCAATAGAAAGGCACTATTTTGAACTCAATTTAAAGTGATTAGCAAGAGGACAACTAACCGCTTTAGCGTTCTTCATTTTTAAACCTTTGAAGTACTTTCTCAATGTACTTCTCTAACCGCTTTAGCGTTCTTCATTTTTAAACCTTTGAAGTACTTTCTCAATGTACTTCTCCTGTGACAACCATAATTTCTTGGTACTTTGATTCCTCAAAATTTTCATACCAAGAATCTGTTTTGCTGGTCCTAAGTCTTTCATGGCAAAAGACTTACTTAGCTGTTTCTTCAAGCTATTAATTCTTACAGAATTCTGACCAACAATCAACATATCATCCACATAGAGCAAAAGAACAATGTAGTCATCATCAGAGAATTTCTTAATGAAAAACACAGTGATCTGAAGTAGTCTTTCTATAGCCTTGCTCCCCTATAACAGACTCAGACTTCTTGTACCACTATCTCGGTGCCTGCTTCAAGTCATACAGGCTCTTCTTCAGTTTACAAACACAATCCTCTTTTCCTTTTTCTAAGAAACCCTCTGGCTGCTCCATGTATATTTCTTCTTCCAAATCTCCACCATGTAGGAAGACAGTCTTTACATCCATTTGCTTGATTTCCAGATCAAATCTAACGGTCATTCCGAGCACTGTTCGAATGGATGTCATTTTCACAACTGGGGAAAAGATCTCATAAAAAATAGTACTCTTTCTTTGATTGAATCCTTGCACAACCAGTCTAGCTTTGAATCATGGTTGGGAGCTGTGTTCTTCCTGCTTAATCCTGAACACCCACTTGTTCTTCAAAGCTTTCTTGCCTTTAGGCAACTTTCACCGGCTCAATGTTTTTATATCTCATGCAGGACTTCAATTTTCATCTTGCATGGCTTCAATCTCAGTTCCTTTTGTGTTCATTTTCCATAGCTTCTTCAAAGCTTTCAGGTTTTTCCCCCGTCGGTCATCGTACATATCATAGTGCGTTTGAATATCTTAGTAGATGGTTGTCTAACTCTACTGGGATCTGTCTTAATGTTTTG